GGTCACCGGTCACCCCTCTGGGGTTTGCAATGGGTCCCTGGTGGCACCTAAGAGGAGGGCATGGGGGTGCCAGGTCCGAAGGGCTGGAGGCGGGGGGTGCTGGGTCTCAGGGTCATGGGGTCCGTAGAGGGGACTCAGGGTACCCAGGGGGTGCTGACGCAGGGGCACATCTCGCAGGCATCTCGCAGGTGGTGAAGGAGCACGTGACGAAGCCGACGGCCATGGCGCAGGGCCGCGTCGCCCACCTCATCGAGTGGAAGGGCTGGTGCAAGCCAGTAGAGCCGCCCGCTGCCCTGGAGAGCGCCTTTAGCTCCTACTGCCACCTGAGCGAGGGCGAGCAGGAGGCGCGCTTCGCTGCTGGTGGGCACTGCGTGGGGCACGGCCGGCAGGCACGCTCCCCCACCGTGGCCGAGGGCAGGGGTGTTGGGGCGGATTGTCCCCATCCATCCATCCATCCCCATCCATCCATCCATCCATTCATCCATCGGTCCCACAGCACCATGGGCACAGAGGTGCCGGGGCAGGGGGATTTTGGGGGCACCTCCTGGTGCGCGCGTGACCCGTGCCTGTCCCATGCCAGGCGTGGCGGAGCAGTTTGCCATCGCTGAGGCCAAGCTGCGAGCCTGGTCCTCGGTGGACGGGGACGACTCCAACGACGAGTCCTACGAAGAGGACTTCGTGCCCTCCACAGAAAGCTCCCAGCCCACTGGTAAGCGCCATGGGGAGCGGGCACCTGCCGGATGGGCAAGGTGTCCTGGTGTCGGTGTCCCACTGCCAGTGCCAAAGGTTGAAGGAGCGGGGTGCCCGATGCCAAGCCACATTCCCCAGCCTGGCCAACCCCTTACAGGGCAGTGCCCCTGCCTGGCACCATGGCAAGCAGTGCCTCTGCTGGGGATGGGGAAGCCCTGCAACGCAACACCCTCCCCAGTGCCAGGGCGTATTTTGCTTTTCCTTTGGTGGTCACCAGTGCCACGTACACAGCGATTTGTGGGCAAAGCGGGCACGGTGCCTGGCACGGGGCTGCTCCCATCCCACTGCTCCCATCCTGCGGGGCACAGGGCAGGGGGCAGCTGGCAGCCCCTGGTACCATCCGCCCCAGACTGACCCTGGGCATCCTGGTTTTCCACAGAGCTGCCCGGCACGGTGCCCACCGGTGCGCTGCTGCGAGACCTGCTGCAGGGCCACCTGTGCCAGCTGGGCGTGCGGCACGGCTCCTGTGAGCCCGAGAGTGACTCCTCGCACACCCTCTCCCCCGAGACCCTCTGCTCCAGCCTCTGCAGCCTGGAGATGGTGTCCCCCTCTGAACTCACTGCCAAACTGCTGGGCTCCCTGGGGGGTGAGGACCTGCTGCTGCCCAAGCTGCCCCCCCCAGCCAGCCAAAGTGCCTTGCGGGGCCTGGCACGGCTCCGGTGCCAGGACTCCCTCTACTCGGTGTCCTACGCCGAAGCCTGCCTCTCGCCTGCCGAGGACGAGGTCGTGTTGAGCAAGGACTTCCCGCTCCGCCGGAAAGTCTCCGACGTCGCCTCCTCTGGGGTGGCATCGCTGGAGGAGGATGAGGAGGCCGAAGAGCCCTGATGCCCCCCTGGGGTGCCCTGCCTCTCCTGGCGGGGGTCCAGCCCCCCAGCCGCCGC